ATTTATTACAATTGGACTAGAACATGCAGGAGTGGAGTGAAAATCAGCCTCATCGTACAGATTCCGTGCCTTGTGTCAGAGGTGCAAAAACGAGGTGGAATATGGGTGAAAGGAATGGCAGAATGGCTGCAGTTACAGCAGGACTGGCTATTGCATTTCCATGGTTTTTGTAGGAAAAAGGCAGCATCCAGTCATCACCTGATGCACATGGTGATAGTGGGAATGTCCTCCTTGCTGATCCTGTGTGCTGAATGCACCTCTAATTGTACTTATTTCACTTGTTAAATTTCCTAGGGCAGTCAATCTGTGCTGCTGGGCCTTGGTTCACACCTAACTTGGCTAAAGAGCATCCAAAATTGTCTTTAAAATTCCAAATAACAAGTGAACACTCAATTATGCATCACTCAGCTCCACTTCAGCACAGCAGTTCCTCTCTGAAAATAACATCTTGGGGTGCAGGATCAGAACTGACCCCCACTGCCAGTTTTTCAGGAAAACCTGGGAGAGACACTGCTCTTCTGATTCCCTCTCTCGTGGGGTGTTGGATGAACACGGGTTGTCACTTTGTTTTGTGGGTGATGCTGGTTGCAGTAGCTGCTTCCCTGTGCAGGTGCTGCTGCATTTAAATTGGTGTTAATTCACCATCACAAAGCTCCCAGAGCAAGTCCTGCTTCCTCTCAGCTCCTCCGTGGCACTGGGATATCCTCCCAGGAGGGCTGGGGGCAGGAATTTTTTGGAATTATGTCGCTGCCACACTTCACCTGCTGAGAAATGAGACCTCAGGAGCAGAGAGAGGGAAGGGCCAGGGGGGAGTCCCAGGGATTCTGCACAAGGATATTTGCAGCCTGTGCCACGAGCTGGTGTGACCTTCACTGGCTGTTCATGCTGCACCTTTCTGACATAAATCCTGCTGAATATTTAGTGAAGCAATTACAGCCTGTCTCATTTAAAGAAACAAGAGACAATCCAAAAATGCCTGTGTCTCCAGGGACATGAGTGGCTCCCTGTGACCTTCCCTCTCCCCTCTGGAGCAGCTCCCTCCAGCCGGGCTGGGGGAGTTGCCTGGGCAGCCCAGACACCTTTGGCATTTTTGCTGCCTTTGCTGAGTTTTGTGGAATCCCAGGATGGCTGGGATTAGGAGGAACCCTAAAGCTCATCAGGGACAGCTTCCATTATCCCAGAGTGCTCCCAGCCCTGTCCAGCCTGGCCTTGGGCACTGCCAGGGATCCAGGGGCAGCCCCAGCTGCTCTGGGCACCCTGTGCCAGGGCTTACACCCTCCAAGAGAGAATGAATTCATGTCTGGCAGCTGCTTTGCTGGAGGCAGAAGGAGAGGAGGTGAGGTTCAGGTGGGAGGCTGTTGTTGCAGGTGTGGGACCCCGGAGCTGCTGCTCTCCCAGGGCATCTTTTCAACTTGGCTAAGGCAGTTGTGTTGCTGCTTTAAAAAGAGAAGAAAGCCTGTGGTGCTGGGGTGTTCCCTGCCGTGGGTGGGCTCTGGGGGTGCTGGGAACAGAATGAAGAGGTTTCCCAGCCCCTTCCCATCCCGGACCCTCGTGGTGGTGTGGAGGCTGCAGGGGAAGCTGCAGTCCAAGAGAAGCGGGTGGCATTTGCTGGCACTCGGGAGCCTGCCCTGTGCCCCCTGGCAGGGCAGGGGGCACACAGTTCCTGGTGCTGCCCCAGCTGCGTGCCAGGCTCTGTGCTCATGGATCAGGGCTGTCTCGGAGTGCTGCTCCTTTTGTTTCCCTATTGATTAGCAGCCAATCCATACCTAGAGGTCTATAATGTTCCTATGATTTAAACTTTAACAGTTTCATTAACTGTCAAGTACCTCTAGAGCAAAGGAATCCCATATTTTAACTCCCCTCTCCTTGCCAGGATAAGATTTGTGGAAGAAGACTTCTCTTTTTCTTTTTTTTTTTTAAATTTTATTTTATTTTATTTTATTTCCTTGAGAAATAAATAAATAAAGCCCAGGCTTTCTGAAAAACCCTGAGGCCTTGAGATCTGACTAGGAAAGAAAGAAAACCATTCCAAGATATTTAATTGTACAGGGGGCTTACGGGATTGATCGAGAGCTTAGCTTTTTACAATAGTCCAGTGAATAAGAAATGCTCCTGACAAACGATCGATGATGGGATAATCACTCTTTATCCCCCCTCCTCATTGTTACCTTCTTTCTTCCAGGAGAACAGGGTTCAGAAGTCAAAAATCTTTATAGACGCTGCTTTTAAATTAAGCAGAAAATAGACATTGACATATTTGTTAATCTCACCTAAATCATTACTGGGCCTGGCTGGGTGGACTCGGTGGCAGGGGCCGGAATTCACCAGCGGGGCTGCCTCAAGTGCTTGTGTTGCCATTAAAAGCAGGGAGCCTGGGAGTTCAACGTGGATAAATACAGATAATTTTTTATTCTGAAGGTTATAAGGAGAGCTTCTCTTAATTAAAACCTTCTTACTCGCATCTGAAGGGTTAGGGTAACATTTATATTGGTAGGCACAGAAAAAAAAAAAAACATTCCTTCCCTGGGAAGGATCTTTGGAAAAATACATGTGCCTTGGAAAAATGCATGTATGGGGTGTGTGAGCACCGAGCTCAGGGGCTGGGGAGCTCTCCCCTTTGGACCAGCAGCCTTGGATTGTCGTGTCTGTGGGAATGAGGCGTGCAAGGAGCAGCAGCATCCTGCCGTGGAGCCCCCAGGATGCTGCCTCAGCTCCCAGCTGTGGTTTAGGGGCTTCCTGAGCACAGATTAATATCTGATCTTCATGCTCAGGAACCTGTGCTGGAATCTCCTTGCATGAATTTGTCCGATCACCCTCTGTGAGCCCCTTTGGGCCCAGTGACAGTGAATTCCAGCCTTGGGTTCTGTCCCTGGTCCCCCTTGGGGTTTCTGTAAAGCTTCTGCAGTGGTTTAAGGTGGGTTTGTTGGCCTGGGGCTGCTTTGGCTTCCTGCAGTGATTGCAGAGCCCCTGGGGTGGGCTCTGGCAGGCAGCAGCCTACAGGAGTGGTGAAGCTGCTGTGCCACAGTCTGTGTTTCCTGACGAATGAACAGCAGTGCTGGGACATTATTCTCTTTTAGAAGTAAGTCCTGTAAATGTCACTTAATAGACGGCTCAGATCGTTGGCATTTAAATGGAACAGAATTTGAAAACACCCTCGGAGCCCTTTTCTGAGTCTCTGGGGCACAAAGTCTGGGCTGGACCAGAGATTTGCTGGGCACTGCTGGGAGCTGATGCTCTGGGGTTTGTCCTTTGGCTTCTCCAAGCTCTGGAGCTGCACTCCTGATTTTCCCTGGGGTCGGAGCTCTGTGTGGCTCCAGGCACCCCTGATTTTCCCCATGTCTGAGCTGTGTGTGGTTCCAGGCACCCCTGATTTTCCCCCTGACCTCGGTGTGCTTGCAGGCACCCCCGAGCTGAGCCCGGCGGACAGGAAGGAGCTGGAGGCCAAGCTGAAGGAGCGGGAGGAGTTCCTGGCCCCCATGTACCAGCAGGTGGCCATGCAGTTCGCTGACCTGCACGACACGCCCGGCAGGATGCAGGAGAAAGGGGCCATCACCGTGAGTGTCCGGGGCTGGGGCTGCAGGCAGGGCTGCAGGCAGGGCTGCCATGCTCCTGCAGAGCTGCAGGCAGGGCTGCAGGCAGGGCTGCCATGCTCCTGCAGGGCTGCCATGCTCCTGCAGGGCTGCAGGCAGAGCTGCCATGCTCCTGCAGGGCTGCCAGGCTCCTGCAGGGCTGCAGGCAGAGCTGCAGGCAGGGCTGCCAGGCTCCTGCAGGGCTGCCAGGCTCCTGCAGGGCTGCAGGCAGAGCTGCAAGCAGGGCTGCCAGGCTCCTGCAGGGCTGCCAGGCTCCTGCAGGGCTGCCAGGCTCCTGCAGGGCTGCAGGCAGAGCTGCAGGCAGAGCTGCCATGCTCCTGCAGGGCTGCCAGGCTCCTGCAGGGCTGCAGGCAGAGCTGCCATGCTCCTGCAGAGCTGCCAGGCTCCTGCAGGGCTGCCAGGCTCCTGCAGGGCTCCTGGTGCCCCGCCGTGACGGGCAGCAGGGCGGGTGCCACCTGGGGTTGATCGGGGGGCCGGGGTGGCCGCCCCTGCCCTGCCTCACTCCTTGTCCTGCCCCAGGACGTGCTGGACTGGAAAACCTCGCGCACCTTCTTCTACTGGCGGCTGCGGCGGCTGCTGCTGGAGGAGGTGGTGAAGGGCAAGATCCACGAGGCCAACCCCGAGCTGACGGACGGGCAGATCCAGGCCATGCTGCGCCGCTGGTTCGTCGAGGTGGAGGGCACGGTCAAGGTCAGTCGGGGCCCTGGCACCCACCTGGGCCACCCCTGGCCGGGGCATGGCCAGAGGCACCGTGGGCATTCCTCGGGAACTGCGCTCAGCTGCAGGCTCTGAGCAAGGGCAGGCTCTGGAGCTGCTCTCGGCTTGGTCTCTCACAAGCCTCCAATCTCAGTATTTTATTTATTTTATATTTTATTTTATTTTATTTTATTTTATTTTATATTTTATTTTATTTTATTTTATTTTATTTCATTTTATTTCATTTCATTTCATTTTATTTCATTTCATTTTATTTTATTTCATTTCATTTTATTTTATTTCATTTTATTTAATTTTACTTTATTTATTTATTTTATTATTTTTATTTATTTATTTATTTTTATTTTATTTTATTTTATTTTTCTGTTCTATTTTATTCTACTTCATTCTATATTTTATTCTGTTTTATTCTGGTTTATTCCATATTTCATTCCATATTTTATTCTATATTTTATTCAATATTTAGTCCATATTTTATTCCATTTTTATTCTATATTTTATTCTATTTTATTCTGTATTCTATTTTATTCTATTCTGATTTATTTCATTAATTTTATTTATATTGCTTAATTTTATGTATCTATTTCATTTTACTTTGTTACTGTATTATTTAATTTTCTTTATTTTGTTTATTTCTTTAATTTTATTATACTTTATGCTACTTTATTTTACTTTGTTACTTTATTTATCTTACTTTATTTGTTACTTTATTTTACTTTATTTTACTTTATTTTATTTTATCTTATTTTATTTTACTTTATTTTATTTTACTTTATGATACTTTATTTTACTTTATTTATTTTACTTTATTTTACTTTATTTTTTTTTAATTCTGTTTTATTTCAGTGTTTTATTTTTTAATTCTATTTTTTTTTATTCTGTTTTTGAAGTCCCCAGCACCCAGGGGTTCCAGGGAAGGGGGGAATGTTCTCTGGAGGGCAGCAGCCGTTCCAAGGTAGAGCCTGAGCTCTCCAAAAGCAGGCAGCTCGTTAGCTAATACATTACACCAATCAAGGAGAGTTATCTTAAGCCACAATTAATCTGCTCCCTGGCATATGTTGATAGGGAAGCATCATGCTGTTTCTTAATTAAAAGCAAACGGATTAAAAATGATTAATAAGAGTATTAAATATTCTCCTAAACGAAAAGCTTTGGGATTCTTGGGTAAATGGAGCTTTACACAGGTCTGGGGCTGGGCTTCCCCCCTTCCTGGAACCTTCCTTTGTATGCAGGGGGTGCTGCTGCCTGCCAGGCCACAGGCAGGGAGCAAAACTCCCACTCCCAAGTCGTAATAAGGAGAAAAACAATGAAATAAGCAAAATCTTGAAGTGACATCACCGGCCTGAGACAATCAGAGACATTGTGTGAAAGGAAATAAAATAATCCTGGGGTTTCTCAAGTGTGTCAGGGGCTGGGATGGGCTCTGAAAGCAAAATTCCTCCCTGGGAGAGGTTCCCGGAGGAGCTGGGGCTGCCCCTGGATCCCTGGCAGAGCCCCAGGCCGGGCTGGGAGCAGCTGGGACACGGGGAGGTGTCCGTGCCACGAGGGGACAGCCAGGGAACAGCAGGAGAGGGAGGTCCGGGCTGGATATTGGGAAAACTCCTCCTTGGGAAAGGAAATTCCTCCATGAGAAGGGCAATTCCTCCATGGGAAAGGAAATTTCTCCATGAGAAGGGCAATTCCTCCTTGGGAAAGGAAATTTCTCCATAGGAAGGGCAATTCCTGCATGGGAAGGGAAATTTCTCCATAGGAAGGGCAATTTCTCCATGGGAAGGGCAATTCCTCCATGGGAAGGGCAATTCCTCCTTGGGAAGGGCAATTCCTCCATGGGAAGGGCAATTCCTCCTTGGGAAAGGAAATTTATCCATGGGAAGGGCAATTCCTCCACGGGAAAGGAAATTCCTCCATGAGAAGGGCAATTTCTCCATGGGAAGGGCAATTCCTCCTTGGGAAAGGAAATTCCTCCATGGGAAGGGCAATTCCTTCTTGGGAAAGGAAATTTCTCCATAGGAAGGGCAATTTCTCCATGGGAAGGGCAATTCCTCCATGGGAAGGGCAATTCCTTCTTGGGAAAGGAAATTTCTCCATGGGAAGGGCAATTCCTCCACGGGAAAGGAAATTCCTCCATGGGAAGGGCAATTCCTCCTTGGGAAGGGCTGCCCAGCCCTGGCACAGCCACCCAGGGCAGGGCTGAGTGCCCATCCCTGGAGGCCCTGGGGGACAGGGTCAGTGGTGGCCTTGGCACGCTGGGGCATGGCTGGACTCGATGATCCCAGAGGTTTTTCCAGCCCTGGTGACTCCGTGACTCCCTGCCCAGGAGGTGCCACCACGGTGTCACCGCCCCCAGCTCATTGTCATTCTGCCTTTGGCTTGGTTAGTGATAACAGAGAAGGATAGTGCACCTTTAAATGAGGAGCTTTGTGTTTAATTACCCAAATAAAATGACATAAATATGAATGAGTGCTAATGGCAGTACTTGCTTTTCCGGAAACCATTAACAAAACGATTCTTAAATGATTTGTAAAGAAAATGAGAGGAGAGGAGAGAAGGCTGTTAGGGGTTCACACACTCCTGAGTTATTACACAGCCGACTGTCTAGCAAATATCAGGTGAAATGATCGTGTGAAAGGCAAAAAGGGGGCTGAGGGTTCCAGACACTCCGACCTGCTCGGCCCTGCCCACGGGGCTGTTCCACCAGAATTTGGGGAGCTGATAACCAGGGCAATGGGATTTATCTGGGACAGCTCCTGGGATTGATGCAGCTCGTTCCCTGCAGCACTGACCAAGCACCTCCTTGGTCCTCTTCCATCTCATTTATGGCAGGATGCAAAAGCAATGGGTAGTGCTTGACCTTGTGCTGATTGTTAGGTGTGTTGGTGGGGATGTCCAGCCAGATGTGCCACCACAGCTGCCAGTCCAGGAGCCGTGGGGTAAATGTGGGGCGTGGGCAGGGCTGGGTGCAGGCTGAGCTGTGGCATTTTGGCAGGCCTACCTGTGGGACAGCAACAAGGACCTGGTGGAGTGGCTGGAGAAGCAGCTGACGGAGGAGGAGGGCGTTCGCTCGGTGGTGGAGGAGAACATCAAATACATCTCCAGGGATTACGTGCTCAAGCAGATCCGGAGGTGAGCCAGGGAGGGCACGCGGGGGGATCAGGGATGGCTCCAGAGCTGCTCCCTCTCCGTGGGGCACACAGGATTCCAGTCCCTGTGTGACCCCAGCCCAGCAGTGTCCTGGGGAAGTGTCCAGCACAGCCCCAGCCCCCTGGGGGAAGCTCCGGAGCTGCCTCACTCGCTGCTCTCCGTCCTCTCTGCAGCCTGGTCCAGGCCAACCCCGAGGTTGCCATGGATTCCATCGTGCACATGACCCAGCACATCTCCCCCACGCAGCGAGCCGAGGTCGTGCGGATCCTCTCCACAATGGACTCGCCTTCGTCCACGTAAGAGCCGGGGCTCCTCTGCCCCTGCCCGGGAGGAGCCCGGAGCCGGGACCTGCCCTTGCTCTGCTCGGCCGCGCCGCCGGGGGAGGCTCAGGGAGCGCTGCTGCAGTGACATTTTTATCTTTTCAAATCAGGCTGGCCAGAGGAAGCGTGTCCTTTGGCCAGGGACACGAGGAAAATGTATAAAAACACAAAGCGCCTGCGGAACTGAGTCCCCGCTGTCCTCCTGTACCTTATTTATTGAACAGAGCGGGGCTGGGTGCTCCGGTACCGCGAGGCCTTGGCGTGGCAGGGACGCCCCTGTCCCCCCAGGGACACCCCTGTCCTTGCAGGGACACCCTGCCCTCCTCTCCTCTCCTCCCCCGTGCTGACAAGTGCCAATGTCCCCCTGTCCCCCCGCAGCCCCTGGCTCCGTCAGTGGCGATTTGTGTGTCACCCTGTGTCAGTGGTGATCTGATCTGTGTGTCCCACGTCTGTCTCGTCTCCTAGGTAGAGCAAAACCAGCCTTCAGCTGCTGTGGCGGGGCTGTCCCTGTGCCCCCAGGAGGCTCCCAGGCTGCCCAGGGCTGGGAAGGTTTTTGGGGCGCAGGGTTTTGGGGGATTTGCAGCCCTGTCGCTTTGCCTTTGTGCCCGATTCCTTTAGAGCAGGCTGTGAACTGTGTGAAAGGCCCTTCTGGGAGGAGGCACAAGAGACCAAAGTGCAGCTGCTCAGCATTTCTGCCCTCCCTGCCCTGGTGTTTTCAGGGCTAAAGGCAGGGGCAGCCCCGCTGTGGATCCTCGCTGAGTGTTCATCCCAGAGGCAGGTCCAGGGTGAGGTGAGGAAGGAGAAAGGACAGAGCCAAATCCCCCAGCGGGGCTGCAGAAGGAAATCTCAGCGTGAGGATCCAAGGAGAGCTTTTCTCCATCACCCTGCCCTGCCCCAGAGCTGCCTGTGTGGCTGGGGAGGGGCCACTCTTGCCTGGGAATGGGAAAAAATGTCAGGTTTGGATCTCATTGCAATGGTCAGGAAGAATTGGGTGGCAGCTGCCCAGGTCCCCCCAGATCCCCAACTTCTTTCTACTTGTTTTTTAATGTCAGAGAAGCTCGGAGAAGCTGCAGTGCTGGAGGGAAGCACAGCCCACCCCTCACACAGCTCCTGCTGCAGAGCTGGGCCTGGGCACTCCGGGCTCACCAGTGATGGTCTTGGAAGAATTTCAGATTTTACAGCCCCTCCTTTAGTCCAGCAGGAAGGGCTGTAGGTCAGAAGTATGGCACATCAGAAGGGCTGTTTTATGAGAGAATTAATCCATGATGCTGCCAGTGCCTCTCACCCTTCCCTGTTTCCTCCCGAAGTGCAATGCAGCCCTTCTGCCAGTGCTGCCAGTGACTGGAGGTGCCAGCCCGGGGTCGCTGCTCCCCTGCCTGTGGCCAGCAGAGCTCAGCCACCTGCAGGTCTTGCTTTTTCTTAATAGTTAAGAACCCTAATTTGATTTAAGAGATTTTTTTTTTTCCACTAGAGCCCCCTGAACAAGCCCCAAAGATGCTTTTGCTTACGCCAGGGTGGGCTGCAGCAGGACACACAGACAGAGAATGTGTCAGCCGGGCAGGACCGGGACTTGTGGGGCTGCTCTGCTGTCACCAGGATCCCCCCGTGGTGGTGTCACCAGGGTCCCTTCTGCAGGACATCTGGAGGTGTCCCCGTGCCCACTCTGCCACAGCCTCCCCCCATTTCAGTGTTCCCAGCACCGGCTCACACCCCACTCAATCTGGGGGTAAAGCAGCTCAAAAAAACCTGCTGGGTGACACCGGGGTCTGCAGTGGCCCTGGGGGTCTGGGCCTGCTGGGGCCCTGTGGCAGCAGCACCTGGATGTCCCCAGGTGTGGGGGGTCACCGGGAGGGGGACAGCCCCTGGGTACGAACGGTTCTCGCTGGTGCTGAAGTATTTCACTTACCTCAATTTCTTTTAATAAAAAGAATGAATTCCAGCTCTGTTGCTGCGAGTGGAATCTGTCACCCCTGTCCCGGGGGAGCTGAGCTGTGCTTGAGGCCGGGGCACAGAGGGTTCTGTGGAACCCCTCCAGGTCCCAGCTCGCTGTCACCAAGCCTGCTGGTGGCCACTCCCCATTCCCACCCTCCATTGTCACCTCCAGCATCACAGTGAATGTGACAAACAGGGAAAAAACCCCCAAAGCACAGAGGCTGCTGCTGAGGTGGGAGAACTTGGGGACCCCCTTCCCAGGGCTGTTCTGTGGGCAGGGATGGTTGGACTGGAAGATCCTGGAGACCTTTTCCAGCCTCATTCTGTGCCCTGCTCAGTAGGAGCCTGCAGGGAAAGGCCCACCAGGACTTTGGCTAAAGGATGTCCCTGGGAGCTGATCCACAAATACCCTCTGGAGTTCTCCCCATGGAAGGTGAGATTTAAATTTGCCCACCACAACTCCAGCAGTTGCTTTTTCCACGTTTCTCAAACCAGAATCATGATAGTTAAAATTTGGGGGGTGGTGAGGGGACAGACCCTACTGAACTCCAGCATCACGTTTAAAACTCTTTAGCCTAAAATATCTCCATATTAAAATGCCAAGAAAAGCCGTACCAAAGCTGTAAGCTCTCCAAAGCCCAAGATCAAAGTGCCATCATCTTTTAATGTAAACCTTTTGTTGCATCAACAGTCTTAAGAGGGATGAGAGACATCAAAATAAAAACTGAGACAAACTGGGGCTTTGTAGCTGTTTTTTGTTTTAGTCTCTGCTCTCAATTTGGGCCATGAAATAGGTCAGCTCCATTACTGATCAGCCTTCCCACAAATATTTAAAACAAATTGAATTGCACACCCAATACCCATCACAATTACGCCAGGCACAATAACTAAATTAGCAATTCAACAAAATAATTGGAAATGCGATTCTCTCCATTCCAGAGCCTCCCCCGGGGGTTTGGCCGATCTATGGGGGGAAAACTCTGCTTTACTAATTCTGCAGCTAATTAGAGACACACTTGTAAATGAAGTTGTTTGTCTGAAAGTTGAAATTCTTGGCTGTGGTGGGGTTGTGGGGAGAGGATTAACACAACCCTCTGTCCCTCCCTCTGCACACCCCCGTCCCCAGAACACCTCCGAGTGTTTTGCTAAGGTGTGATGCCCATTTGTGGAGGTACTAATTAGCAGCTGTATCATGAATTAATAAAGAATTAATATTCTATTGGGGGGGGAGAGGTAAGATGTCATTTGCTGTTAATCGGCAGCATTAGGAAAACTTGGTGGAAATCACCCTGGTTCTTTCTGTGTGCCCAGGGAGCTGTGCCCATCACCTGGGGCAGCTGGGGACACACAGGTGGCACACGGGAGGGGTGGCACAGGACACAGGTGTCACAGGTGAGGGGTGGCACAGCTGTGGGGCTGAACCCAGGGGTTTGATGCTGTGGATGGCAGAACCTCAGCTCCCTGCAGGCCAAAGCAGGGCTGCAGCCCTGGCACAGGTGACAAAAATCAGCCTTTCCTGTCCCCCCACAGCTCCTGGCTGGGGCTGTGCCTGCAATGGGCTCTGCTGGATGTGGGGTCATCAAAACCCCAAAAGGTCATCAGTGGATCCCTAAATCCAGGTGCTTTTCTGGCTTGGACCAGAGGACAAGGAAAATGATGCACTTCCCTGGGAGCTGCAGCTCTGCTCCTCTGCGAGGAACAGAGATTTACTCACCCCTGAAAGCTCTTCCAGCCAAGCCTCACCTGGCACTTGCTCTGCTTTCTGAAGGAAACCTGCTGGGGCAGGGAGGGATGGGGATTCCTGCACGGATCACACCGGGACAAGCAGCTCACAAACCTTTTTAATTGGAGTGCCCAAAGCCCAGCCAGGGACAGGGGAGCTCTGTGGGACAAGGCATGGCCATGAGAGGGATCAGTGACACCAGAGCAGCCCCATTTCTGGTGGATCCCTTCGTGGGGATTTGCTGCAAACCCCAGCCAGCCCTCAGGAGTGCCCTGTGCTGGCCGGGGTGTCACAGCCTGAGTGGCCCAGAGTCACAGGAACTGATGTGCAGGACCCGTGCTGGGCTGGAGGAGCCCCAGGCTCATCCCCGTGCCAGGGCCACCAAATGTCCCTGTGTGTGTGCAACAGCCACGAGGTGAACTGGGAGCTCTGGCGCCTGCACAGGAGCACCTTTCCTCTGTTTTAAGGCCATGTTAATTATGGAAATGACATTTAAATCCTCTTGACTGCTAAAAAATGAAGTCAATATGCAGCCAAGCACCACATCAGGGCACTAAGCCCCCCCAGCCCTCAAATCTCCAAGGTTTTAGCACAGCTGTGGGGGGACCCAGCTGCAGGGGGGTTGGATTGTGTCCCTCCCCCCAGACTGTGCCCAGGCTGCAAAATCAAGGTCAGGAATTTAAAGGGAATAGCTAAAAATGGATTGTCTCTGGGAGGAAGCATTTCAGGCTGGGCAGGGGGTGTTCAGCCAGGCTCACTCTCCTCTGATGCAGCAGGTTTGGTGCTCCTTCAGGGGGATTTTTGGGACAAACCAGAGGCTGAGAGAGCTGGCTCTGCTCCTGGGCAGCCTGAGGGAGCAGCTGGAGAACACCTGGAGCTCAATCCCAGCTCCTAATTCTGCTCTGCCTCTTCTCCGTTCCGGACTTTTCCAAACAGCGACCGGTACAGCTCCGTCCTGGGGAAAAAATGGGGAGGGAAAAGTTACTTCCCAAGGTCAAAATGGAGGCAAAAAGCTGCCACAAAGCCTCCACTCCTTCAAGAGGAAAGGCCTGGTGTAATTAAAAATCTTTATTAATAAATACAGGCAGAGGGGGGAGCTTGTGTGAGCCCAATCCCAGGCAGGACAGAAATATGGAAATATTCCAGTGTAGCTGGATATTGGATCTCCAGAGAATGAGGGTTTCTATAAGTTTGCCCTTTACAGAAAGGCTCTTCAAGTAAGAAAACAAGATTGAATATTTTAATAGGATGTACGGGGCTGTGAGGAGGATTCAATCACACAGCCAACGTGGGGCTGTAATTTAGTTTTCATACATTTTCTTGGACAGTACTTGAAAAACAATGAAAATGACCCAGCAACAAGATTCCAATTAATATCCCATGTGCAGCGATTCTGATAACAGGAGCAAATTTCCCTTAAAAAAAAAAATTAAAAAAGAAAAGTGGGCTGGTGTTATTTATCTTTAATTTTAGAAGCAGAGAACGTGAGCTGGGAGAAAGGAGGGATTCTTATGGAGCAGGAATTTCTGGCTATGGAGGGAAGAGCTGGATTTTCTTTGACTGCAGCTCCTAAAGCCTCTTGGCTGCACACGTGGAGGGGAGTGCTGGGTACACAGGTGGGATTTTCCCTTCCAGGCACAGCAGTATTGGGGTTTGGGCCTGTCCCTGCTTGCAGACAGCTCCACAGGAGGGTTCCCTGCCAGCTTCCAAAGGAGGAATTCCATGTTCAGCAGTGAAAACTTCCCCACAAGTGCAGGAATGGAGCCTCAGTGCCAGCAGTGCAGGATGGATGGACAAAGTTGTGTCCTGCCCGCAGGGAACGGCCTCAAACCTTCCCCAAAAAGCACCCTGAGGGAATCTGGGGAAACCCTTGCTCCCCTCTCCAGGCTCTCTAAGCCCTTCTCCCTTTTGCACTCATTCTTTCCATCCCCAGGAAGGTTGGGGAGCTCAAACCCAAAGTGCACGTTTTGGGGAACCCCACGGGAATTACTCGGAGCGAGCAAAGCTTCTGTGTCTGCCTCATGAGCAGCTAAACCCCAAAGTGCTGCTCTGCCTGCCTTGGCCTTGCCCACTGGGGCAGGACCCAGGAGAATTCCTGGGGTTTTTGTCTCTGTTTTTTGTGGGTTTGATGCTCTCCTGCGTGTGCAGGAGTTCAGGGACGGATGCAGAAATTCCTCCAACCCCACGGATTTTAAATAAACATTTTTCAAGCAAGCAGGGCCCCGGGAGATTTCAAGGAAGAATTTATGTTTGCTGGCATGGACAGGACATGGAAACTCCAGGTTTTGGGGGTTCCCCCATCCCCCCAGGAATGGCACTGGCAAAAGGAACAGGATGAAGCAAAACCCCAGAGGATCCTTGTGGATAATGACAGCAGGACAGACACCCCGACGAGGAGGAGAACAACCAGGCAACCCCAGCACCCCAAAACGGGGCAAGCACTTCACCCTGAAAATAAAATATCAAATAACCCAACCCTATTTCCCCCTCTCCTCAGCCAGGCTCCCGTTCTCCTGCTGCCTCTGCCCTCAGCAGGATTTAACCATGCAGAGAGCAAAACTCATCAATCCTCCAGGTTTAACCTTGTCTGTGTTCAATTCACCAGGGTAAGTGCAGCTTTTAATACTTGCAGCCCCCTTAAGGCTATGCATAATGAACTGGGATTTTGGTTACAAAAATCTCAAATTTCTCTCCTGCACCCACGGATGTGAAGATCAGGGTTGAGCCAGTGGCTTGAGACAGCCAGTGCCACCCGGAGCTGGGGAAAGGTGACTTCAGCACAGGAGGAGTGGAGCAGCCTGTGCTGAGGGATAACCTGGGCAGGGATTTAAATATAGATATAGATATAAAATTATATATATTAATATATATAATTATATATATATATATATATATAAAATAAAAAACTATATATATAATTATATCTATCATTATAAATAAATATATAAATTATATACATAAATTATATATTCGTATATATAATTATATATATAATATAAAACTATATATAATTGTACGTATAATTATAAATAAATAAATATATAAATTTTTATATATATATATATATATTCCTACCCAGAGCAGGTCAATACAAGGGTCTTCCCTGAATTAAAATTTAACTCACCAACTCACCCTTTATTGCAACCCACAAAAGCAAGTAATGAGCACTAACATTTTCATTTCTTTTAAACTGTCATTTAGGCTGTAGAGGGGATAATTACCTATTTCCACTGTAGTAAGGTTTTATCACCCTTAGTGAGGCATTTTCTAATTTAATATTTTTACTGTATTATCATAAAACCTGTTTCTGGAAAAAATGCTCAGGACCCACACAACCATTTGCCATAAAACATGTGTGTGTGAGTACCTTGGCTTCATTATTTATGCATTTCTTCCTGAGGCAGGGGATGGCACCTCCCCACCTGGACACTGCTGATATTAATAGAATGATAATTCATAAACAAATATAAACAACATAATTATATTTAAAAATATAATTTAAATTATATTTTTAAATAGCATTAAAATTCTATTTTTAAATATCATTTTTTAATATGATATTGCTGGACACAATATTTTTTTAAAAATTAATTTTTTTAAAAGAAATTATTTTTAAAATTATATTTTAAAATTATATTTAAGAATATAATTTTAATAAATTAAATAAAGGCAGCTAGAGCCAGCCCAGGTGCTGAGGGTGGTGCTGCCCCCTCCAAACCCACGGAGCAGCAGAATCTGAATCAGAACCCTCAGCAGGAATCTGCTCTCCCTCCCACACGGGAGGGGAGCAGCCAGGGCTGGGCTGCTCTGTGGAATTACAGTCATCCCATTGCCTTTTTAAAATATAATTCTGTAAACCCATAGAAGAACAAAATTAAGGGGGAAAATCTAGTTTCTAGGTTTGTTTTATTTTTTTAAATTAAAATAGCAATAGTGGGCTATTTTCTATTTTAAAATATAAAATATATTTTAGATAAAATATATTTTAAATATAAATAAATTGAATTATTTGTTTATATTTCGATAAATAAATAAATTTATTTATTTTTGATAAATAAATTTATTTTAATAAATAAATTAAATAAATTTAAAATATAAAATATATTATCTATAGTATATATTTAATATATTTTTAAAGTTTATTTTAAAATAGATTTTATATTAAATTTATAAAATTTTTATAAAATTAATTTGTATAAAACCTAATTATTAAAATAAATAAATAATAATAAATAAGACTAAAATAAATTAAAATTTTATAAAATTAATTTATTATCTATTTTATATTTTTTATATTTATATATATTTTATGTATGTATTATCTATTTTATATATGCCCTTCAGTAAAAACATCCTCCAACCAATTTCTCTGCCTTTTCCCAAGTACCTTTTACTTCTTCTCTTCTTCTATCCCCCAAAAAAAAAGTTAATTTAGAATATGCCACAAGCAGTACTGAATTGAGTATATCCCCCATTCCCACTGCCATCCTGCACTGGGAACTGTGAATTTTTAATTCTCAGAAACTGGAAAAGGAGATGGAACAGAAACACCCATGGAAAACACAACTGCTGGTGGGAGCTGAAGGTTTCCTTGGAAAACTTTCTGTCTGCTCCAGGCTGGCTCAGAGCAGGCTGCTGGTGACCAAATCTGGGAATGATCCATGACGGATCCATGATGGATCAAATTGGGGAGTGATCCATGATGGATCCATGATCAATCAAATCTGGGAATGATCCATGATGGATCCATGATGGATCAAATTTGGGAATGATCCATGATGGATCCATGAGGGATCAAATTTGGGAATGATCCATGATGGATCCATGAGGGATCAAATTTGGGAATGATCCATGATGGATCATTCACTGCAAACCTGATTGATGATCCAGGTGTCCCTTCTGTGAAATGCTTTGTGCAGTGCTGTGAAATTCAGATTAAAGTGCCCAGCAAGCACAGCAGGTACCAGGAGGACAAAACAAATCTGAAGCCTTAAATGTCTCCATAAAAATGAGTATTTCTCTTAAAAAAAAATGAAATGAAAGGAATTCCAGGTGAGCTTGGTGTGCTCAGTGCCCAGTGGGTTTCACCCCACTCCAAATCCCAGGTACTGCTGCTCCCACCAGGAAGGCAAACCAGGCTCTGTCAGAATCTGAGGAATTGATGATCCAGAGATTGTAAAAAGTCTCTGGCTTTTCGCCTTGTTGCTAAAGAAGAAGTTACAATTTGTTTGTG